AATTGAGATGATGTTTGAAAGGATTTTTAATTATATTATTGGTTTTAAAATTATTGAAACGAGAACGTTCTGACTAAAAAATTAGAAATAGATCAACTTAAATATAGTTCAATCGGTCAAAATATATACTTCATAAAACAGTTAGATGTAGGAATCCGAGCGTAAACTCGGCTAAATTTTGGAAATTATATAAAAAATAGTTTAAAATAGTTTTCCATTTTTTTAAAAATTTAAAATAATATAAATGAAATTAGAGTGTCAATTTCAACTTTTAGTTCATACTTTGGAATTAAATTTGATCCCACTTAGTGGAAGTTTAATAATGGGCATTTATGACCCCACGGCGTCGTTTTATTAGAAAAGGTAAAAAGGAAAAAAAAAGCCTTTATCAAGATATAAACCTAAACATAAATAAAAATAATAATAGAAAAAACAAATAAACCTAAAAAAAAAAAGAAGAGACCACATGTAATTAAAATATTTATTAAATAAAATCTAAATGGATTATTAATCAAATAATAATAAAAACCTTTTAAAATTGTTACGAATATTAATGACGTTTGTAACAGATACTGACACGATGCATTTTGACTTGTCACTGTTTAATATTTAAATTTTAAATATTAAAAAAATAGAACTACCTATCTTAAAAATAGAGGTTAGATTCCATTGAGCTGTGAATTCTATTCAAGTTATACGGGTTAAACTAGATTGGGTTCTAAAAATTTGTTGTTGTTTTGGGCAGGGTCTTGCTTCACTATCAATAACATCCTACATATTTCTGGTTAGACCAAAGGGATGTGGAGATGAACATACTCCATGCAACGCTCATTCCTCCTTCCATATAGCCCTGTTCTACCTCTCTGTTTACTTGGTAGCCCTTGGCAATGGCGGTTACCAGCCCAACATAGCTACCTTTGGAGCGGACCAGTTCGATGAAGAAGACGCCAAGGAAGGCATCTCCAAAATCGCCTTCTTCAGCTACTTCTACTTGGCTCTCAACCTTGGATCCCTCTTTTCCAACACTGTTTTAGGTTACTTTGAAGATGAAGGAATGTGGGTGCTTGGATTTTGGGCTTCTACAGCCTCTGCTGCTATGGCTTTGATCTTGTTCCTCTGCGGAATCCCTAGGTACAGACATTTCACTCCTAAAGGAAATCCGCTTTCTAGGGTTTCGCAAGTGGTGGTTGCGGCTATTAGAAAATGGAAGGTTCAGATTATGAATGATTCTGAGGGATTGTTTGATGATGATGAGAAGGAATTGATCGGTAATGGAGCTAGGAAGATTCTTCATACCAATGGATTTAAGTGAGTTTTGTGAACAGATTCTGTAGATTCAATTGATTTTTGATTTCGAGAGAAACGAATGTAATGTGTGTTTGTGTGATTGTGTTGTTATCTACAGATTTTTGGACAAAGCAGCGGTGGTTACCTCGGCAGAGATGGACCGATTTGACGGTGGAGATCGGAATCCATGGCGTCTGTGTACGGTTACTCAAGTCGAAGAAGTGAAATGCATCATCAGACTCCTTCCGATTTGGCTTTGCACGATTCTCTACTCCGTCGTCTTCACTCAAATGGCTTCTCTGTTCGTCGAGCAAGGCGCCGCTATGAGAACGAACATTTCCTCATTCCATATCCCTCCCGCAAGCATGTCGAGTTTCGATATTCTCAGTGTTGCAGCGTTCATCTTCATCTATCGCAGGATAATCGATCCAACCTTCGTTCGATTAACCAAAACGAGCCCCACAGAGCTTCAAAGAATGGGGATCGGCCTCGTAATCGCAGTCTGCGCCATGGTATTCGCCGGAACCGTCGAGATTTTTCGACTAAAATACGCGAACAAAGATTGCCGCCATTGCGACGATTCGAGTTCCCTAAGTATTTTCTGGCAGATTCCGCAGTACGTACTGATTGGAGCATCGGAGGTTTTCATGTATGTAGGCCAACTCGAGTTCTTCAACAGTCAGGCGCCTGACGGACTCAAAAGCTTCGGTAGCGCCCTCTGTATGACCTCGATTTCCTTCGGCAACTATGTTAGCAGCTTGCTGGTGACGATCGTGATGAAAATCTCGACAACCGATAACATGCCGGGATGGATCCCCGGAAACCTAAACAGAGGCCATTTGGACCGATTTTTCTTCCTCTTGGCCGCCCTCACGGCGGCGGATCTCTCCGTCTACATCCTCTGCGCCAAATGGTACAAATACATCAAATTCGAGAGCCGTGACGCCGCCTCTGCTGTCTAGAGTTTTTCTCCAATCGACAATGGCGGCAAAATGCAGTTGGAGGTGGAAGAAGGTGAAATGTCCATTATACCCCCGTCTGATCCATGATCAAATTATTTTATCAGAAGAAAATAAATAAATAAATGAAATAAATTGAGGTAGTTTGATCGAGATCGTTGAAGTTGGACCGGACAATCGCAGCCGTAGATATGAAGAAAAAAAAACCCATTCCGGTCGAAGGGATGATCGGCCGGTTGTTGCTATGAGACTAGAGAGATGATTCCGATTACTTCTCCGGTTGAGCGGTGTTGTGAGATATTTTACTGGACAAGGTGGGTGTATTGAGTAAAAACTTTTATTTATTTTCTTTTTTATTTAATTAAATGCTCATTGTTGCCATAATGGGAAAAAAATAAGCAATAAAAATTATTATTTTTCACGCTCTGTATTTAATTAAATTAAATAATTTTTATTTTTAAGTTCTTATTTATATTGGAAAAAAAGGCATTATTATTTATTCTGTGATATTATTAAGGATAATAAAACAAATAAACAAAAAATATTAATAATAATTTCTACCTCCGCCATTGAACCTCTGATTATCGACTTCGGTCAGATCCCAAATCCGTCCCCTCGCCACCGCCGCTGCCGCCATGTGGAGGAACTCCCGGAGTTTCTCATCCAAACTCCGGTCATCATCTTCCTCTTCCAATCCTTCAACCACAACCTCCATTTTCACTTTCTATCATCCCATTGGCGTCGCTCAGCCGTGTCTGCGCGCCCTCTATCCTTATACATCATCATTATTTTCCTCTC